TGATTTTGAGTTCCTCCATGAGTTCGGGCCTCACCAAATAGAGACATCAGAACCAAGGCCAAGAAAATTAAAATGATGACCCTGGATGTTTCAGCCTCTCCAAAACCATCTACACATTTATCTCTGGAGACAACGGCTGCTTTCTCACTCAGATGAAAACGTATTCAACTTCAGGTTTAAATGTACCATTGAATAGGGGAGTAGCTGAACAGGTGAAGCCAAAACTAGTGACAACACTTCACCATTACCTTATGACAAAAGATCATGCCGACTTTTGCTGGAACTCACCCCTTGAAATATGCAGATCCAAGAAGCTCTTAAAGAAACATCGGTCCGATGCCTTCAGTGCTCAGGAGAGTCAACAGAGGGCCCAGAAGGCTAAGGAGCTTGCCCTAGGTCACACACTAAGTGCTGGTGGTGTCTGACTTCTCAGGTGCTTGCTGTAACCCTACCTGGCAACTTTGCATTATGGATAAACCACATGCTCTCTCTGGATTTGTTTCCTTTGTGTAAATAGCAGCAGTTGGACCAGACATCAACTAGAAGGCATGGCGGTTTAAGAGGGGGAACTCTATGGTCAGAATGAGGATTCAAATCCTCGTTCTGCTCACGGTATAATCCTGAACAATTTACTTATAGTCACTGTGCCTCAGTTTCCTCAATGCAAAGTGGGGGTACATGATACTACCTGGTATATACCTCACAGAGCTGTTATGAAAATTAAATGAGATGATCACAAAGTTCTTGTGAGAGTAAGAACTCAGTAAGTATTAGTTATCATGTCTTTTCCAGCTTTAAGGTTGCATGACTCTAGGACTCTAACAGGGAGAAACAACTATCCCTTATTTTTAATGGTAACATTTCTCCCCATTAATTTCATGCCTCAGGCAAAAATCAAGGCCAGACATGAGTACTGAGAAGGGAAAGATGATTACTAGAGACTTGGGGAGTGATTTAAGGAGTCAGGAGACAAACAAGCAAATGGATTTGAAGAGGAGTCACTTAAGAACTGATTAATGCTTCCAAGGTCCTGCTAATAAGAAAAAAACAAACTATAAAACATATTGCTAAGCACATTTAAAATACACATGACCCTTGTGCCAGGAATTTCTTACAGAAACACTTGTTTCGGTGCACAATTTTATATTATGTAATATGTCATTGCAGCATTTTACTGGAATACATATTTCAATGCGCATATGACACATGGGTAAACTTAGGCACGACTGACTATAAATACATGTTACCTCTGTGCGAGGTGTTTACAATAGGACCCCAATCAACAGAGGCTGGTTTTCCCTTTTTCAAAATATTTATTTAGAACATATCAGAGCTATGTGAAGGGAGCAGCATCTTTGAGATAGTGGGTACTACGGCACATTTAGCTGTCCTGACACTTGGTAAGTGAATAATATAAATATTCCAAGGCTCCTGCTGAGGGCTAACCCTGGTGACCTCTGGAAAACAAGGGGCACAGGCAAGCAGGCTTCCTTCTTTGTTTTTTAACTTCAAAAACACCTGAATTTTTAGGCATTGCACTCTGTGACTAGAGATGACAAATCAGAGTTCTCTAGACCAGGGTTTCTCAGCTTGGCACCACCGACACTGGAGCTGGAAGATTGGCGGGGGCGTGAGGGGGAGGTGAGGGAGCTCTCCTGTGCATGGCAGGGTGTTTAGCAGTATTCCTGGCCTCTGCCCACTAGATACCAGGTGTGACAACCAACACGCCAAATGGACCCTGGGGGACAAAATTGCCCCTGGTTAAGAACCTTTGTCCCACACAACAGATTAGCTACGTTAAATAGTGAGAAGTACAAGCGATTATTACAGCTCAGGCCACCTGGGCCCTATTGCCTTTCCCCAAGGTTGGGAAGCTTTTGTGAGAATCCACTCCTAGTCACCAACGCCCCTGAGGTTCCCTGAGTGTGAGTCCCACCTGCCTCCCACGTGGTGCTTTGACTTTCGGTATCAGGGGGCCTGCCAGGACTCCCTTTGCACAATGAGCTCACATTCAAGGTCAATTTTAGAAAAGCAAATGGCTTTATACTCTGATAAAAACACACAAATAACTTTTAGAATTTCTTTTTCCTACCAACTACTTTAAAAATCAAAAGCAAAACTATTTAGATCCTCACGGCTAAGTAAACAAGATGATACACTGGTCTGATGATGTTTTGAAGGAAGTTACATCTTAAATGTTTGTGTTTTGATGCTCCCAAATTTATTCTTACATGACCTAAGGACAAATACACTCTGTTTTTATTTCTTCATTTCCTTTTGGTTTTTGCCTTTGGCGATGTAAATCTCACAAGGGCTTTTGGCCTGAAAGACTATAAAGTACACGGGACACCCCAATGCCTGCTCAGAAGCATGAATGCAGCACAAAACAAAACAAAAAAGTTCCTGTGTGCCCCGAGGAGAATTTTCAAAAACTAGGTAGCCCAGTACTCATTCTGAACTTGACATTTAAAAGGCTTTCATCTAAGTTTATGGAGTTGCAAAAGATATCATTTCTAGCACATAAACACTGATGTGTTTAAACAAAGCTGCTGGATCGGGCACTCCTGTGCACCTAACCAGCACAGGGATTTGGCTCCTACCGTTATCCACCTAAAAGTTCACGTAAACTAAGCCATGCATTTATGCTTCACACACTTTTCTGTCCATGGGTTACACTCTCCACACACCAAAACGCACAGGCAAGCTCTCGTCAAAAAATTTACATCATTCCTTTTTTCCCAACTTCTATTTAATTACATTTCCCCACAGACTTTTATCCTAGAGCAACTCATATTTTAGACTAGAAAGTCAACTATTGATTTCTTTATCATATATCCCTTTAATATATTTATATACATTTCAGTTCAATTTTTAAATAAAAATTTCCTGTGAGCCTAGGGCTCTAACTGCTTAAAACCATTTTCCAGGATTGAGTTACCATTAACAGCTACTAGTGGTCAAGAACAGATCCATAGCAATGAAGTTATAACACATAAACATTAAAAAGTAAAATACTCTTGAAATGCAAATTTTCATGGATGAGGTTTTTTTTTCTTGTTTGTTTTCAATTCATTCATATATCCACGAATAAACACTAAGTAGTCATTGGTAGAAAAAGACTGAGTTAGGCATTAATTTATTTCTATTTTTCTCTATTTTATTTTCTTTTAACAGAAGATGGGAAAAAGTAGATAGTTTGTTATAATATTGTCATTTTGTTCGTTGAACTCTTTCCAAGTGACAGGCCCAAAATCCCACTGTGCTCCTTCACAGAAAATTACTTTTAAGGATCCCTCTGCCCACAATTTGATTAAATTCCCACCAAAGGACAGGACAGCATCCGGACTGCTGGGGGATCATGCCCGGTGATGAGCGACAAGCAGCCTGCACTTTTTCCACACCTACACCAACACCAACACCCGGGGTCCCTGTTTATGCGTGGAGACTGTGCTCCCCCTGGGGACACGACAAAAGGCAAGAATGTGGCTTTCTTCTGTGAAACGGAGAGGGCCACTGTGTGAGGAAACCTGGGAAAGGAAAACCAGCTGTCAGGGCGCCTCAGGCAGAACAGCTTTGGGAAAAAGCAAACCTGGGAGCTGAGGACCTGGGAACCGGCTCTGTGACCCCTCTCAGTGCCCCGTGTAACACCTGCTGTGCCTCCACGTGCTCGCAGAAGCGCAGAGTCCAGTCCCACAGCTGCTGACTTAGAGGACTTCCGGGAGGTCCCACCCCCAGGCTAGTTTTTGCAGATCACAGGACTATCAAAACAGGAGAAAAGAACTAAATCCTGATTGACCAAAAGGGAAAACTCATTGCACGCCTTCTGATGTGACTCACACAACAGGAATACACAGCACCACTGTGACACACTCATACCCGGGAAATGGCATCTGAATTAAACAAGCCTCTTGGTCTCACTCTGAGCTTACAGGAGATGTGGGGGACAGAGGGACAAGTTATACTGCTGCGCCAAGGAAGCAATCAGCCAAATTCTGAATGTGGGATGTTCAATAGACAGTGGATGTAGTTTCTCTTAACAAATTACCACCATGGGGAAAAAAATGGGACTGTTAAAGAATAAAAAAAACTCAAAAGATGTAACAAGCAAATTCAATATGAAACTCTTGTTTGAATCTCAATTCTAAAAAAACCATTTTAAAGATATGATTTTTTAGACAGAGGGGAAGGGAGGGAGAAAGAGAGGGAGAGAAACATCAATGTGTGGTTGCCTTTCGTGCACCCCCTCCTGGGGACTTGGCCCGCAACCCAGGCATGTGCCCTGACTGGGAATCGAACCAGTGACCCTTTGGTTCTCAGGCCAGCACTCAATCCACTGAGCCATACCAGCCAGGGCTTAACAAAACCATTTTGGAAGACACCCTTTAAAAAAAATGGAGGAGATATGAATGTGGACTGGGTATGGGATTACAATTAGTATGAGGGTGATTATCCTTAAAAAAGCACAGGTCATTCAGTTAGGAATGTGCATTGAATTTGCAGATGCAACTACATATCTGGGATTTGCTTTTACAAACTATTCCAACTTCCCAAGAAAGTCAGGGGAAGACAGATGAAATGAGATTAGCAAAAGATCAATAATGATTGAAACTGAGTGGTGGTACCTGGGGTACGTCATAGAATTCTCTCCACTTTTTTACATGTTTGAAAATGTCTATAACAAAAAGTGTTTTACAAGGGAAGAGGAGAGAAAGAGAAGTTCAACTAGTGCCAGCAAAACCCTGTGGTAGGCCCTTCCTAAATATTATCTTATTTTACAAGTCCTCAGGCGGCTGCCCAAGCAGCCTCTTTCACTGTCTAAAGAGAGGCAGGGGCATTGAATACACTGGAAATAAACAGGGCCGGTGATCACGGGGAGGCCTTAGCACCTGCACATTAGACATGCATCCTGGTCACACATGGAGAGCATGGAAATACCATGCAGCAGAGAAATGTCAGAGTAAACATGTCTCAATTTATTCCCCCTATATCATGCTACTTACCCCTGCAGCAAAGCCAAGACTTCCATCTAAGATCCGCCTCTGAAAATGAAAACAGGATGTTTCAGTTTCTAAGGGATATTTCCCAGAATGAGAGGAAACCATTACCCCTAAGAGGGCCACATGAATAAACAGTGGGCCACGCCTGAGTTTCCAAACTTGCCTGGAAGCCTGGACCCGAGCCTTTATAAAATGGACCAAAAAATCAGGGGAACCAATTTTTTTTAACTTCCATCCATCCCACAGCCAATCAGAGTCTTCTTTCAGTGCAGTACACAGCTTGCATTGGCCCACGTGCTGCCTCTTACTCTCTCCGTGAATTATGACTACGAAACTTTAATACCTAGCTGGCCTAAAAGATGGAAATTGACAAGTGTTGCCAAGGAGCATGCAGACCAACCAAAACCCTCCCACACGCTGGTGGGGGTGCAAACTGGCACAGCCACTGGGAGTGACCACAGGCACAGCCTATGACCCAGCAGCAGTGCCACTCCTGAGTAATTACCTAACACCAACACATGCACAAATTCACCAAAAACACAAGTACGAAAATGTTCTTAGCAGCGCTGTTTGTGAGCGCCAAAAACTAGAAACTACCCATGTAGACACATCAATTAGGATATATTCATATAGCAAAATACCATGTGGCAAGGAGAACACACACAAAATATATATGAATGGAGCTCACAGTCAGGCCGGGGCATCCAGTAAATTGCAAAATAAATAGGGTGAAATCAGCCAGACATTGAAGAGCACACACTATATGATTACTCCATTTACAATTTATAAAAACAGAGAAAACTACTCTCTGCTGTCAGAGACCAGGAGAGGGATTGCCTTTCATTGGAAGCTGGGGTGTGGGTTGTGACTAAAAGAGAACCTAAAAGGACTGCAAGGCAAGTGGGGGGAGCTGGTACTGTTCTAGTGCTTGATCTGGGTACTACTGTATTTTCATGGGCATTTGTGAAAAATTATCAGGCTGAACACTTATAAAATGTGCTTTTTCTACATGCAGCTTATCTTTCAGTCAAAAGTTTTTTAAAGAAGTGGCCTAAATTAGGGATGTCATCTATAACCATGTGAACACATTACAGGCACATCAAGGCATCAGTCATCTGATCCGTGAGACTCCCCCACTGAGGTCCGGGTAGCTGGAGCCCCAGGTCGGCCATCTCCAGCCGCAGCAGCCTCCTTCTCCCTCTGAGTGACTATGGGCTGCGGGGAAGGCTTTGACCCCAGTGAGCCATACCAACGACATTCTTCTCTAGGCGCGCCACAACATAAGCCATGTCAATCTAACTGATTAATTTAATCAAGCCAGACATATAATAAAGAAGTCGGGTAAAATCATCCTATCAGCATTCATCTGGATCTCCAAAAGAGAAACATTATACTTTTTTCTAAGGTCAATAAATCTGTTATTCTACTTTCAGACATTTATTTCAAGGAACTAAATAGATACATGCTCAAAGATTTGTGTTCATTATAACACTATTTCTAAAAGCAAGAAAAAAGGACATAACCTAATTGTCCAGCAGTTGGGTAGTGGATAAATAAATTTCAGTACATCTTTATGACAGGATACAACATAGCCATTTACATAACCCATGTAATCAAAGCAATCAAAAAACCATTTAGGGGTATGGGGGATGCTTATGACATCAACTGAGAAAAGCTGGTTATAAAACATTACATGCAATTTGATCCCTATTATATAAATAGACATGTAGATACTTATGCATATTCAAATGCAACTGAACAAATTTGAACAAATGATTTTTCCTTTCTGAGTAGATTAGAAATTTTTAAAATTATTTCTTTAAGCTTTTCCATATTTTACAATTTTCCTAGAATTAAAATATGATTCTTAGGTTAGGAAAATGAATTCTGAGTAAAGCTACCCCAGTGCTGATAATAGAGGACAGACGTCCAAGTGTCTCCTGTCTCAAGTGACTCTCCCTGCAGCCCCAGTTTCAGCTGGGTGAAAACAGAGCACACCTCTGTGGACTCACACCTACTATGGCCTTCATCTCCCCAGGCCGTGCTCCTTCCCACACACACCTCCTGTGCAGGAAGAGTTAACACAGCCCCCGCTGAGCCTGCTCTCTTTGGAAGGTCCTGCTTTCAAGGTTGGTCTCCGGCTGCCTTCTGGGAACCCGGAACTGCAACTGCTCCCTCCTCTCCCTAACTGATAAGGATGGGTCACTGCACCTATTCTACAAACACTGCAATTTACACGGGACACCTGCGAGTCTGCAATGTGAGTGGTAGCAGCGGCTAGCGCCCATAAAAACCTGAGTCTCTAAAGGGCACCACTGTGCAGACACATCACCACCATGCTGGGGAAGGCCCACAGGAGGGCCCGGGCATCAAAAGCCTATGCACACATTTCTCCAGACTCCGCCTGTCTTTCCCTTGCTGCCCTTGTTGTGTGTCCTTTTACTGTAATAGACCTTAGGCAGGAGGACAACTACACACTGAGTCCTGTGGATCCTCCTAATGAATCAGCAAATGTGTGAGTGGTCTTGGGGACCACCTACATGCCTCTACACAGGGAAAGGCCTTAGCAATTCCTCCTCCTGACCTGAGTGGGTACCCGCCCAGCCCCAAGGAGAAGGGGGCCCCTCTGGGATGGCTCCCCACTTCTGAGGAACCCACAGCACTGGCCAGGGCCACACGGGGCTCTGAAGTTCTACTCATCATAGTACTGCATTTAATTCAGCTCTCAACAGCCAGCTAGATCCCAGCTAGTGTGACTCAGACCTTTCCTTCTCAAAGCAAAAGAATCTGGTAAAGGTGAACACATGGGCTGCTCCGTCCCTGAAGGGCACCAGAACAGGACCCCAGGAAACCCGGTGTGGCTGTCATGAAAAAGGAGGGGATCAGGGAACCTGGAGCCCTCTCCTCTGGCTCCTGGGTGTCTCTCATTCAGGGGCTGGGTATCGAATGTCTTCACTACCGGTGGACGGTGGACGATAACCTGGGCTCGGGGTTGTGTGTCTTGAGTTCCAAGCCTCTGCTGGCCTCCGAACACCCACGGAGGAGGGAGGAGAGTGCAGCAGGGGAGGTCCGATCTTATCGCTGACATCGATACCTGCTCTTCCGGTTTCTGACACAACAGTGACTCGCTTGCCAACTTCCTAGACATGTTTTAGTTTCCAGATACACCTCACAGTGTGTTTGACTAGATCTTAAATCACTTACTTGCTTAGCACTCCTATAATTTCTAAGGTTGCATTCACCAAGTTACCCATGGACCACTCTAGGTCTAGGGATGGAGGGAGTCAAGGGCTGAAGAAGTGTAAGGAACTCAGGCCCAGGAGGAGAGGGCTGACATATATGGAATATGTGTTGGGGGAGCATGGGGTGTGAGTGGGAGGAGGGTGAGCATATGTGAGGAGCTCTGGGAGTGTGATAGTATGTGTGGACTGTGTAGGAGGGATGTAGGGTAGGAGGGATGTAGGGTAGGAGGGACAGATGTGGGCGCATGGGAGACATAGAGGTGCATGGTGTGCAGGGGTGAGTAAAGGTGGGTCAGGGTGGGGTGGGCAGGTGCTGGATCTGAGTGTATTTATCCCAAAGGGGTTGGGGGAGGGAATAAAGAGCCCTGGATTTGGAGTAAAAAAGAGAGGGAACAGATACCCTTCCTTTCCCCCAGGTCTCTCCACCCATTCCAGCTAACTCAAGGCCACAGGGCAGAGCAGTACACTGCAAACCTATTGTTCTTCTTCAGCCATGCACATCACCATCTGCACCAGGCCTTGAAGAGACTGGATGGAAGATGAAAATGGGGCAGGGGCTCCAGGAGGCTGAATCACTGGGCTTCTCACCCCCTGCTCCCTTGGAATCAGGAGGGGAGGTCAAGGAGTGCGGGGGCCATAGACACCTGCTCTCCAGGCCTGGTAGGGAGAAGGGGAGCAAACGAGAGGACAGAGGACAAACATCACCCACACCCTGGAGGTGTGGCCAGTGGCATTTGAGAGTCTGCCACCCTGCTGGGAAGAATGGAGATGTTCCAGAGCCTGCTAAGAGAGTCCCCACGAACTTCCAGAACCAAACCAAGACAACTCGACTCACCTGTCCACTAGAGAATACGAACACCAGAGCCGCCCCAGCTGCCGTCATCCCCCAGGTGAAGAAGGTCCCCAGCAAGGCCTGGAACACAGTGCTGTAGCCTTGGAGCATGCTGGATACGGCTGTGTGTAGAGGAGCAAGAGACTGTCAGTGCCAGTGGTCCCCTCCGGTGACACACACATGTTCTAAGGTGTCCTAACCCCCTCTACCTGAGCTGGCCTCCATTTGGGTTGGTCTATGCACCTTCCCACCATGCCACCCTTCAGTGAAATCATCTAATTCTGGAAGGAAAGACATGGGGACACTTAGAGAGACACCAGAGGAGAAGATACCATGAAAGAGGTTACAACATTGGGAAGTAGTTCCAAAGAGAAGCTCAAAGAATGTGAATTATTAAGCCTGGAGGAAGGGAGGGTCTGATTGCAGCCTTTTGCCTTTCACCTTTGCCTCCTGCCCCTGCCAATCATCATCCATCTTCTCTAAATACTGGTGACCAGCTCAGGTTCCCTCTTGAACTCATCCAGCTAAGTCCTGATCCAACCTTCAATAGCTCCCCATCAAAGTGCCTGTGGCGGCTCCCATGGCCTGCCAAGGGCATGCTCCACTGACTGAACTTCAACTGGCCCGGCGACAAGCCTGTGTCTCCACTACCATTACGCCCCAAGTGGGCACCAACTCAACTGAATTATTGATGGCACCTGGGACAAGCCCCACATGGTCCTACTCCAAGTCTTTCTTCACGTGGTTCCCTCCCAGAATGCCTTCCTTCTCCACCTCCACTCATCTGATCCAGAGCATCCTCTGCTGCCTACCTAATGCCAACGTATGCCAACTTCAATTCCATGCTTTTCCAATTCATCTCCACACCCATCCCCGCGCATAGGCACATCTTTGGTGCCTTCTTTATGTGGGCTTGCCTCCTTCAACTTTTACATCATTAGCTGTTTAAGAACAGGGATAATGCTTTTTCACATTTGGCACACCAGTATGTAGGGCTTCTGGCCCCAGACACTGCTTGCTGAATTATCTGTGCCACCCTGGACAGCTAACCTTGACAGGACACTCAGCAAAACAAGGAAACAGAGCTGTAAGTAAAATGCCCCCAGTCATTAAAGCTGAAGCTAAAGTTACACCACTGCCCACCGAGGAACATACAGGATCATCCCCTCTTGTTTTTCTCAGAGGGCCTCCTCTACACTTGAGTGTGTTTTAAATCCTAGCTCTAAAATGATAGGGAGTTAGACTCTTGCTGTGGAAAATTACAGGGCAAAGAAACCCATTTGTTGAAAAGCCCTGTGTTCTGGTACACAAACATTGGGGCCCAGGGCCTCCTCATCTCAAAGGGCTCATTCAGCTCCTCACTGGTCGTCCAGCACCCGCAGGGCTGGACACAGCCCCATTGGGCTTATCCCTGCCAGGCCCCAGAGCTCTGTGAGGAGCCAGCAACCCTGGGCAAATGACGCTGGCTCTATTGACCCTAGAAGGAAACTGTGACAGAGGGTGTCAGAGGCCCTCAGGCCATGAGCTCAAGATTCAAACCTAGTAAGCCTGTGGGTCCAGGTAGACCCAGATAAACCCAGGTGAACCCACGTGAACCCGGGCTTGACCCTGGTGCCAGGAAACCTCTAGGACAGATGGCATCTATGGATTCAGACTGTGTCTCCATAACCTAAATGGAACTCAGGATAGTGACTGCACCAAGCAAAGAAAAAAAAATCAGCCCTGGCTGGCGTGGCTCAGCGGATTGAGTGCTGGCCTGGGAACCAAATGGTTGCAGGTTCAATTCCCAGTCAGAGCACATGCCTGGCTTGTGGGCCAAGTCCCCGGTGGGGGGGCACATGAGAGGCAACCACACATTGATGTTTTTGTCCCTCGTTTTCTGCCTCCCTTCCCCTCTCTCTAAAAATAAATAAAATCTTTTTAAAAAAGAAAAAAATCATTTAAAAAAACACCTCCTTTTACATACGTCATCTTGTTAAGTCACCTTAAAAAAAGGGGTTTGTGTTTGTTTTTAAAACCAGACATCTGGATCATGACAACCACCTATGTCTAGCTGCCTGTGGATAAAATTTCAAACAGCATTCACAAAGAAAGGCACACAGCTATCATCTTCTTAGTATTTATCACCCAAGGCAGGTCATTAAAAAAATATATGAAAAAGCAGTATTGAATGTGCCTTTTAACAACTACAGAAAAGAGGAAACCATTTGCATCTGCTAAAAGGCCAAAGTCCAAGTGGGTTTGGTTTTGGAAAGTTGTAGGTGTTTGTGGGGCTAGTCAGGGGGAACACACTCTTCCAAGCCAGTGCATTTACAGCTGACACCGAGACACAAAAGGGGCACATGGGGAAAACCAAGGGCACCATCCCAACAGCTGCAGCGTTTATCCTTGGCCATGCAAGACCAGCGCCTCTTGGAAAAGTTTCTTCCCCTTGTTGTCTTAAAAAGGGTGGTCTGAGAATCAGCAGCCCTGGTCCCCCTTGGGAGCTAGTTAGAAATGCAGAATCTCAGGCCCCACCCCAGACCTGTTGAATCAGAATCTGCCTTTTATCAAGTCTTATACACATTCAAGTGGAAAGTCCTGGTCTAAAACTAGAACAACTTCGACGAGGCCCAGAACTTAGAAAGTGATTCTCCTGCCCTGTGAGGGACTGGCAAGGCCAGCGCAGAGCCCCAAGAAAAGAGTTTTCTCCAGTAGCCCTGTGGGGACAGGGTGCAGCAGCCCCTGCACCTCAAAAGAAGCTTCCACAGTGGGACCCAGGCTTCCTTGTGAGCTGGATGTTGATACATAAACCTTGATTAGATTGCAAGGGGAAAGGGGTTGTTCTCTGCTCACCCCAACTTCAAAGACGCCAACACCACCCACAGGTGCGCACTCTACTACAGCAGCACCTGAGGCGCTCCTGGCTGATCCAGGTTTTCTTTCTTTTCTCTCCCTTTTAAACCCGTTGTTGTGCTTCCAAAAGTCAGCTGCAAGATGGTGATGAAGCTGCAGGGCAGAGACAGCACTTAAGGCAAGTGCACACGCCGGCCCTGGCTCCACTAGAGGAATCCTGAAAAATGATTTGGGTTTGGGCTGCTACGGATGTGTAAAAGTTCTCCAGTAGCTCGCTACTCAAAGTGGTCCGCAAACCGGCTGACCTGGCACCGCTTGGAAATGCACAATCTCGGGCCTGCAGCATCTTAACCAGATCCCCAGTCAAGTTCCAGAGGTCCTGCTGACCCCCAGGGCCAGGTGGAGGGGACAGAGATTGGCCGCAATTGTAACCACCTCGTTCCTAGGGCTCCAGGGTCGCCACACGCCCTCCGTGAAGCACTGAATGAAGAGGATCTTGGAGAACCAATGACAAAGGAAGGCAGGTCGACACCCTCCAGCTTGCCTGGGAGAGGCGGCTGGGGGCGGGTGGGTGCGGGGGGTGTTATTCTCCCTCCTCAGCCACCTGCCCATGCCGCCCAGCTTCCCCTCCGACCCCCTCCAGTCCCTAGGCACTCCCTTCTGAACTCCAGGTTGCCCTTCCGAGTCCCACACTCTGGCCCTGATGGCCCCGGACCCCGGGCCTTTGGCCCAACCGAAGATGCTGAAGGAGAGAAAAGCCGACTCACTACGGTGCCCTCTCAAGCCCCCACTCCACTTCCATCAGCCCCCGCTGCCGCTCGCGCGCGCCGGCTCCACTCCCGAAGTCACTTCCTGCTTCCCTCCCCGCACACGTGTCCCTCCGCCCACCAGGCCCCGCCCCGCCCTGCTGTGACTGGCAGATCCTGCCGAGAAGATAAATTCTCTGGTTCACAGCCTCTGCAGGCTCAGGAACAGATGGGGCGGGTAGACCAGAGCCCTGGGGCCAAGCGGAAAGGACATTGTGCATGTATACGCCTTGGTAGTTTTATCTGAAGCCACAGAAACCCAAGGAAAGAGACTATGTAACATCCCTGATATCATTTATCTCACAGTGAAGTTCCATGCCTTGAGGGAGCAAACCCAAATGTGTTTGAAAGGGTCTGGGAGTAGGGGTGGGGGGAGGCTGGGATCTCCTACCATCAGCATCCATTCTCTAGGTCAATGTCCCTCAAACCTCTGCTCCCAACAAGGTCACCAGGAGCGATGTCAAAACACAGAAGGTGAGCACCCTCAGAGGTTCTGGTTCTGGACGTCTGGGCCTGGCCCGAGATTTTCTGTTCTAAACCAGAAGTTGCTGGGATCACTCTGAAAATCAGTGCTCCAGGTCAAGAACTTTGCTCTGAGAGCCTTCTATAAAAAGACCAGAGAGAGCCCTGGCTGGTGTGGCTCAGTGGATTGAGCACTGGCCTGCAAACCAAAGGGTCGCTGGTTCCATTCCCAGTCAGGGTACATGCCTGGGTTGCAGGCCAGGTCCCCAGTGAGGGGTGCTCGAGAGGTAAACGCACATTAATGTTTCTCCCTCTCTTTCTCTCTCCCCTCCCCTCTCTCTAAAAATAAATAAAATAAAAAAAAAAGACCAGAGAGTACAATTGCTAGATTTAGCCAAAAATTTAAAAAGATGCTTGGTTAAATTTACATTTTAAATAAACAACAAATAATTTTTTAATGTAAGGTTGTCCTGTGCAATATTTGGGACATACTATACTGAAACCTCTTTCATATTTGTTGTTCATCGGAAATTCAGATTTAACTTGGCATCCTGTATTTTATCTGATGACCCTACCAGAGAGTAACAGGGACAGAAAAATGACCCATCATCACATGGCCATGACCAGAGGGTCCTATAGGAGCAGCTCTTTTCTGTCCAGCAGAAGCCAGTCATTCACGCTGAGGATGGCACCATATCCAATGACTGCTTCAGGAAGAGGATATTCTCACTGCAGGGTGGTTTCTGCCCTCAGGCGCTTGTCTGACCAGGGAGAACACCGGACTAGCTTTCTTGGTCAGCTCAGGGTACCCTAAGAAATGTTTCTGTTGTGTATAAGCTACCCAGTTTGTGGGATCTTGTTATAGCAGCATGAACAGATGGTAACACCCCATTTTACAGATGAGAAAACTGAGGTCCAGGAAGGCTCTGTAGTGACCCCAGGTTGACAGAATAGTGTGGGAAACCAAGCCCAGCTGACTACAGAGATGGTATTGGGACGCTCAGTGCTCTCAGCATGGGACTCAACACCCTGATCGGCAGACTCTCTCACTTCCCTTAAACCACACCTGTCCCTAAAGTGGGGTACCCAACGCCCAAGAGACAAATCGAACCATTTACCATCTTTCCCAGTACCCCACCCCCAACACACACATACATGCACACCAACCCAAAATGCCTCTGTCTTTCTCACATTCCCTTATTATGTTGACCAAAAGAAAATGTAGGGTCCTTAAAGCTAAATGCACAGGTTCTTCCCTCCAGCCCACCTCCAGGCCATTCCCAGCACATCCCTATTCTCTCCCACCAGGCAACCTGCCCTGCAGCCTCCATGAATTGGGAGAGGGGTGGAGGGATGGAGTGTGCAAGAACAGACCAGAGCACTGGCTCACTAAAGGGTGGCAGGGTGCTTTGCAGGCAGGAGGGCTGCCTCCCAAGTATGGAAAGGGCATAAAATTAACTGATCTTGACAAGCAGTGAAGGAACCACAGGGCAGCAGAATGATGGTCCTTTCCAGAAGAGTCACCTCCCCCTGAGCATTGGAATGGGTGAGCAAAGAGGTGGCAGCTTCATCTTAGAAAGCGCTGGAGAGATGGAGAAGAGACGGCAGCTGGGCACAAGTGATCCAGCCCAGTGAATCCTGGATCTCCTCATTTTTGCTCCTTTCATTCTCCCTCATTTTCACTCTCCTTCTCCCCCTTCTCCTCCCTCTCTTTCTCTCTCTCCCCTTCCTCTTCCCCTCCCTCCCTCTCTCAGATGACATTTCTCTTATGAAGTAATGTAGTGATTGAGTACAAACTTTGGAACCTGACAGCCTAGAAGGAATCCCAGCTTAGCATGTGGCTTTTCTTGGACAAATTCCTCGACCTCCCCCAGCCTCAGTTTCCCCATTCTGAGCCTGGGAATAATAACAGGTACTGTCTTCAGGTTACTGTAACTGAACCCAACACCCAGCCCAGTACCCCTCATGGCAGCCTGAATTAGTTCCCCTCAACCTTCTCTCGTTCGTTTATTCATTCATTCATTCACTCAAGAGACATTTCGTGAGGCTCTGTTCTGTGTCAGGCACTCTGCTAGACCCTGGTGTGTGCAGAGTCACTAAACACACATGGCTTTGCCTCCCCACCCTTTCATTTCTTTCCCATCTCTGAAGTCTGACCACTGAGGCATCAGGAGCACTGAGATAAGCCTGGGAGCCTGGGGCAGCCAGTTCCTTCCCTCAACAAACTGTGGGTAATAAACTGCCCACCCACGAAAATGGCATTCAGATATACTGATGGGATCCTAGAAGTAAAAGCAATAGGCAGTTTATAGAAGTGCTATTGAAATGTAAAGATTTTGTTGCTTTGTTTGGAGGATTTTTTTAAGTACCCCCACCCATATAGCCAGAATCCATCTACTTCTCTCCATCTCCTCTGTTGCTGCCTTTGCCCAAAATAACAGCTCTGGCTCCTCATTCTGCCTGGCCACCTGATTAATCTCCCTAGTTCCCATTGTGTACCCCCCCACCAACAGTCCATTCTTCATACCACAGCCAGAGTGATTTTTTAAATATACAAGTCCAATCACATCTGTCTGCTACTGCAAAAGCTTCGTGGGCTCTCCATTGCCCTTGGACTCAAGCTCCCACCCTTAATCTATGAAGCCCTACGTGGCCTGGCTGTGCTCACTCTGGACCACTGTAGCCCTTCCTCAGTCTGCTTCAGGCAGGCTGGTCTGCCTTCTCCTTGAACACTGTGCTTACTCCTGCCTCAGGGCCTTAGCACTTGCTCTTCCTTCTGGAACACATCCTAGAACCTCTACTTGGAGTGTCTGTCTCCAGAATTTCACCTGGATGGATCCTTCTTGTCACTTGGATCTCAGCAGAGGCCTTCCTTGAACCCTCACTCTAGCATTGACCTTCCAAGGCCTTCTTCACTCTCTTCATGGCACTTCTTGGTATCTGACATTCTTATTTATTCAGTCCCCTTCTACTGCAAGTTCTGTGGGAGCAGTACTCTGTCTGCCTTTTGCACATGTTGTGTCCCTAGCACATGGCACATAGTAGATGTTCAGCAGTTACTGAATAGGTGAGTCTCTCAGATACAAAAATGGTATTTGTTGGCTGCACTTTACATATGGAAGGCCTTCCTGAGAGTTATAAGAAAAACAATATTTGTATATTGGATCAGATTGTCCCAACTAGTTCAATTGTAACTTGTAATTGGATGACTATCCAATGGCCCTCAGCCAAGGACAATTTTGTCCCACAGGGGACAATAGGCAAGTGGGAGAGTGCTAGTGGGTAGAGGCCAGAGGTGCAGCTAACCATCCAACAATGCCCAGGACAACTCACACAACTAAGAATTATCTGGTACAAGATGTCAGTATTGCCAAGATTAAATGACCCTACTGTAATCTCATAAAGTAATCTTCTTAATATGAAGTAACTATAAAAATCACTTTTTAAAATTTAGCATGGCCTTCAAGAAACATCTGGCCTCAGTCAAGGCACCAGGTGGCATTTGATTCACCCTAAAATGCAGGAAAGAAGAGAACCAACTGCCTGACCATCTTTATACCCCAGCACAATCAGCGCACCAGCATTCACGCGACCAAATCTCCTGGGTGCTCAATTTCCTCTACCCCTTTGGGTCTTGATTATTAAGGTTTCTGATGACATCATCTGGACACTATGATATCACACGACTTCCGAAATGGAAATGCATGGGAGGGCTTTGGCAGTGACTCCCCAACACAGCAGATCTGGCTGCCCTTGACATTTGCCCCCTGATGTCACTGATGAACTGGTGAAAAGGACATTCCTAGCTGAAGGATGCCTTGTATACACAGGCTGGTACAGCAGCATCCTTGATTATTCTTTTTGATCCATTCTGAATTTTTTGTAAAATATAAATATGAAAAGAAAAAAAAAGAGGATATTGCTAAGCATCATCCAAAGGAGCCAAGAGCAACTTGATGCCACTTTTTTGAGCCTGGTAAAAGGAAGAGCTGCCCTTGAGGGCTTGAGGGAGACACTGAGTCAGCAATCAGGTCACTTCTCACCTTTGTCTAAATGTGTGATTCTGAACATGAACCCCTGAGCTCAAGCTGGGGCATAAAAGTACAGGTTCTACTGACTTTGTACAAATCTAGTGTTGGGAGAGTTTTCAGTACTGTGACAGGTATTTAAAATGCAAATCTCTTGTTCAAGTGCCAGCTTAATAAAATATGGAACTGCTAGGAAAAAAACCACCACTAATTAAATTGAAATCATGCCTGTCTCTGAGATGATAATCGGCATCAGTCAGTTTTCCAAATTTTCCACCTGTGCTTCAAACACGTGTTCTGGCATCTCATAAGGAATTCTATGAAGGCCATTTCGCTAAGTTCATGAAGGCAAATCACTGAATAAATAAGTTCTACTCCGAGCCTGTTCCTCTGTAGCTATATGAATCACATGAATGACCTGTTGATTCATTCAATCATTCAGCAAATGTGTACTGCATACCTGCCATGTGACAGGCATGTTTGAGGCACTGGATCCACACCACTAAGTAAGACAGACACAACCTGTGCCCTGTCCATGCTTCTGGTCTCAACGCACTGGGCATTGCATTGACTGTGTGTTATT